AATGATATTCTTATGTGTAAGTCTAATCAAATATATGTTCTGTTCTGTTCTATTTCAAGTAGGATTAGGCGGGTAAGAAGTTAAATGTATATACTGGCAAAAAAATGCCCCCAGGTCAATATTAGCAAACAAAGTGCGAAAAATATCTCCGACATTTCATGCATACGAAAACGTTTTTGTAACGTTCTTGTTTTGTAGACAGAAATTACATATAAATCTTTAATATACAATAAAATAAGAACTAGAAAATAACTGGAAACTCATTTTTACCTATAAATTAAATATGATCTTTTTAAAATTCCATACAAAACTTAAAAGAACGAAACCTGATTTCCCGCTTGGTTTGTATAACTAAAGTGGTATATATACCAATTTAAGACCAACTGTAGAAAAAATGGCCTGCTTATCAACAACAATAAGGAAATGGCATATTTGAAAGTCTGCTCCTTTTCAAGGGGCGGACACCTGTTTGTCCCTTTCTCGTACGAGAAGGGGAATCTTGTAATGCGTGTATGTGGTCCCACGGTCACTTTCTTTCCAACATGTCCTCGATGCGTGTATGTGGTCGCACGGTCGAAAATCTTTATAAAAATGATTTTTTAAGCGTGCCAAATTTTAATGTGAAAGGACATAATCGTAAAAAGACTTAAATTCCTGATTGGTTTTTTGCTTTATTAACAATTAATAATGGCAACCCAAGAAGGATTTTGTTACTCCTAAACATGAAAAATAAAAGACTAATTAAAACTTTATTTCTTTCTTATTAGGAGTACTAGACTCAATTACGACTTTATGAGTTTTAAAAGCCTAATCAGGAGAAATAAATTATAAGTAGGAGTTGAGCAATAAAATCGTAATAAGGGCTTTGTAAATTCTAAATGGAAGCTTGAAAAGTCTTGTTCGCAGAAATATGATTCTTATTTAAACTCCTCATAAGGGTTTCTCCTTATTAGTATATTCAAATACACTAATTAGGCTTTTTATTCCTAATTACGAGTTACAAATCCTTATTAGCCTATTAGTTTTCCTGTATGTTGTTTTTAAATACCCTTTTTACTATGGACAAAGTTCAGATAAGTTTTTTTTTTAATTTCTCCTATTTAAAAGAAACTCTTAATTTGTAATATAATTACATTATTAAATGAAAAAATATTGTAATTAGAACTTAGAATGTCCCACTAAGGAGTTGAGAAAAAAATATTAATAAGGACTTTCTTTGTAAATTCTTATAAGGAATCTCAAAGTCTAATGATGAGAATCCTAATTTAAACTTTGTAACTCCCAAGCAGTTTTTACACAAAATACTTAGGATTTTAATTCTTCATAAGTATTTTCAAAACTTAGGTTTCTAATCCGGCTTTTATACTGTCCTATTTACGAGTTAAAACTATTACTGTTACTTTTAAAACTTTTTCATAACTATTATTGAGAGTAACAAAACTCAAATTAGGTTTTTTGTTTCTCTTTATTAGAAGTAACTTATCCCTTATAAGGCCATTATCACTTCTAATTACGAGTTGATATTTTTCATAGAACAATGTTAATATTCTATTTTGAAACTAACTCAATGTTTTTAGTATACTATAGTAGTTACAGCTAATAAGGATTTTTGAATTTCTTATTAGGAAGAATTAGCATAAGTACGACTCTGTAACTCCTAACATGGATTGATTATTAAAAGCGTAATAAAGAGAAATCAAACAAATTATGTGCTAATAAGGGATTGAGAAGTAAAATCTAAATTAGTAATTACTGGTTAGGATTTAGGACTTTGTACGTCCTAATTAGGAGAAATAGAAATATAATTCTAAGTCTGTTACTCCTTGTAAGGTTTTAATTCAAAGTACTAATTATTATTTTATGTCTTCTAATAAGCTTTCAAAACTCTTAATTAGGACATACGAAGTCCCAATTGAGAGTTTTATGCCCTCTAATTAGGAGTTGAAAATAAATTCCTTTATAGGACAAAAAATAAACAACAAGAAAAGAACACATGGTCATTGATTAATGTCAAAGTAAGGAGATAATTTCTTCTATTATGGCATTAAATACTCTAGATTAGAAGACTTAGTTAGAAGATCTAACTCGTAATTTCGAGTTTGTAAAGGACTTCATAAAATGCAAGTAAGGGCCAAATAAAAAATGCTAAATCTTGTTTAGCGTGGTTTAATTTGCCTTAGCAGTGTCTTACTGTTTATTCATATAGAATTTATAGTAAATTAAAAGTATCTAATAAAATTAAACATTTCAGCCTGCACCGGCAGTATTTTCTCTTTGGTCGTGCTAGATTGGACGCCTGTAACAATTTCATGTTAGAAACGCTGGATTTATATTTGGCAAGCATCAGTTACTTCATTTATTGGAAACGATATATTATGGATGAAAAACAACCATTTTCACGGTATTTTCCGAAGCTGCTATGCTTAACCCACTCAAACATTTTGTAAAGCGGGAGTCAACTTAAATATTACTTGATATTATCTCCAGTAATTGTACAGTGATTTTATAGCAAAATAATTGTCTTTATTTGCGAATAAACACAAACCAACCCATTTATAACCTATCTGCAGTAATCAGTAAATTTTAGATTTCTGTCATCACTACTGCGGCAATCTGCCATCACTGGCACCGGTAATACGGTGTGGGCATGTTGCACCAAATTGTAGTGTGTGGTGTGGACTGGTCATATAACGTACATTCTTCTGTATCTATCATATTCATATTTCAAAAATGTTTTAGATTTCTGTATAATTATTACTATTACTATTACTATTATTATTATTATTATTATTATTATTATTATTATTATTATTATTATTATTATTATTATTATTATTATTATTATTATTGAATGAGTACCAAAATGTCATTTATATATATGCATTTTTCTACTGTATTCTTTTTATCATTATTTGAAATACTTATGCTGCAGAACCATCCAACTTCAGACGAATGGCACACGCATGGAATCTTAGCGAAAACCTACTTTAAATTGTGTTAACGTACAATATTTGCGTGTTAATTCACAGAGACATTCCGTTGTTACATCCCTTTCAATAATAAACCAGTGGAATATGGACAGAACATAATTATAACATTTATAAGTGTGTTGCAAAAAATATCTTTAAGATAGATGTGGCTGTATAAAGATTTATCCGGATTATTTTCTTCATAATTTTGTTATAACGATTTATCCGAATTATTTTTTATTCGTACAAAAGACATCGGTTCTTTAGTTATTTTAATAAAGCTTGTTGCCAGTTCTCGGACATCTTGTTCAAATCATTTTTATCACTGTTACACAATATTTACATTTATTTTACGAGGTAACCTTTCACCACCTATAACTGGTGCAATATGGGCGGTCGTAAAAGCCAGTACCCGGTATCTCCGGTAATGAAGAAATAATTCTGTCACTCTGGACGACGACCGTAGTTTGAAATGTAAAGAATGGTGCCACTGATTGGAACTAATAGCATTATCATTCTAGTCAATTACACTATTTAAATGACCGTCCTTATCGTGATTTTATGATACTGTTCTCTGATATGATGACATCACAAATGATAGTGGCGCCGCCTAGTAAGGGGCTGATCATTTAATTCTACGACAATAAGAGCCGGGGATCGACGGTAAAGAACAAAACAGAACAGAACAGAAGTTTTATCACAGCTCAACGTCATAACATACACTTATACATACAATTCATATAAAGTATAAATAAACGTTACAACAAAATTGTTTAAATTGAACAGTTGAGAGTGGTCTGAATAAGCACGTTATCAGAGTATATATAGCATTTATAGGAATTTTATGACATTATGATAATAATAACAAAAAAGGATTAATAAGCAGTGTAGTTGGTCAAGTCTCTGTCTGAAGCTTTTTATAAAGTAAATTGCAAGATTATGTAGAGACATCTTACATTTTGAATTTAAGAGTTCTATAAAATTAAACATACTTGGGCGTGTATAGTAGAATCTGGGAAAATATTTTCTCACATAATCATGACAAAAAAGGCAAATTAAAACAAAGTGGAATTCGTCCTCGATATCATTTGAATTGCAAATTATACAATAATGTCGATCTCTTTAAATATTGTTATTGTTAAGTGGACCAGTAAATGAAAAGGAATTGCTGATAATCAGTTTTCAAAGGCGTTTATTTAAGATATATATGTATTTTAGTTTGATGTACTACCGTACAAGTCAATCCGATATTATGTAGTCACCTCTTGCACGTTAAATGTGAATAATTCAATATAGTTTGAAATCGTACTGATGCTTTATATAAAAGGCTAAAAAAGCAGTTCAAAAATTCAAAAATCCTTTCACATCCAAATTAAAAAAGATAATGTTAAAAGTCTTTCAATACGTCTATAGCATTTAGACCAATTATAACTATTGTTTTTATCTAAAATATCAAATACACAATACTATCATGATTTTCATATAAAGGGAGGTAATTTTAAAATAAATTTTAGAATCGAACGACAAGAGTTAATTTTCCTTCACAGTATAACGCGTGCTATTCACTACACGCAAATTTATCTAAGAAAACACATAAACCAAACTCTAAAAGGAACTCCACTTAGACCCAAAGACTTAAAAACGTAAAATTTGACTATCTTACATAGGTCAAAATAATGGTACACTTATTAAAAAAAAACCTTAAACAGGCGAGATGCTTTTTGTAAAAGTTCGGAAGCCATCTTTAAAAAATTGAAAAATCGTAAAGTGACGAAGTTGAAATCAAAACACAACTTTATGAAGTTGAAATCGTGAATTTTTGAAGTTAAAATCGTGAATTAGTGAATTGAAATCGTGAATTCATGAAGCTGAAATCGTGACAATATAGTTAAATTCAGCATTTAGAAAATATTTTTTTTTATTCATGCAAGAGTTTATAAAAAAAAGTATAACATTTTAACGACATCTCTTTGATTTCTTTTTTTTAACTAAATGTCAAAATTCAGGACAATACTATGCGACCTATAGAAAATTATAACATTTGAGACAAAAGATAGAGAGCTGTTATCAGTTAGTACTTAGTTTTCATACAAACATGGCGACAATAAAAGTTCTACTACATGTATATTTAGGTAATTTATTCTTTACTTATATTTCTTTAATATCATTTATTGTTTAACCACTTTTGATGTTAAAATAGTTATTTGAAATCTTCCTCTGGAACCGTATATAGATGAAAAATGTGAAGTCAGTTAATGTTTATTATCATTTTGTTTATTGAGTTGCGATTGGTTGAGTTTTGAAAGTTCATATAGTGTATATCACAGGTTAGACTTTAAAGGAAACCATTAATAGAAAGAGCATTGGAACACGAATCAATCTTATTTGTACGAGGGGGCGTGTCCAAGTGTTTTTGGTAATCGTTCTCTTTTGTATCATAGACAAAAAGTAAAAACACTTCCCCTGTCATCACAATATGAAACCCCAAAATAAATTAACAACTATACGAGCATCTAAATAGGATTTTTCTATCATTATCTCTTTCCTTGTCGTCATAATAAGTAAACCCCAGAAAAAATGTAACCAACCAACAAGCATGCTCTATTTTCATCCCCGACTGACTGTTAGGTAACTAGAGTTTAGACTTCGGATAACTAATAACTGAACTCCAGTTAACGCACTGTTCATATATAGGTATACAATTTAAATCTGACACATTTTCAATAGCATCTAGGCCGAAGGAACATGGATTCGAGTGCTACAGACTTCACGACCATGTCTCCTCGTATGACACCAATACCGCTTGATTCGAGAGTGTTCAAAATAAGCTACTAGTATTAGCTTACGTCTCTTCATCGAGCTGAAATAAATCTTGCCTGACACAAACTTTCTTACATTAAATTTTTTGAATCATTTTCAGTACTGGTCTTGCCTACATTATGTATTGACGCAGACAAAAGGCTAGGTATGCTTGACGTTACTTTAATATTTTATTTTTTCTAATAAACTTTAAAATACTATCTTTTGAAAGATAGAAATAAAACGGGAAATATTAAAAGTGTGCATCGTTTCTGGTGCATGTTCAATTGATGATGGTTCAAGTCCTTGTTGGAGGTTTATGACGTCTAAGGGTGTTACACAGGGTTCTTTATTGGGTCCTATTTGATTTTTGGTGTTTATTTTACACTTAAGTAGTAAAGAAAATTATGGTAAATTACTAAAAATTGTGTAGCTAGTTATAATTGATATTATTGTATAAGTAATGTTAATTAAAAAAATTCCATTTATTAAAGTTGCAGACACCAATCTTTGTCAACCATTACAAGCACCCGGTCACAGTACTATAGTTTGTGGAGCCGGATTTCCATTCTAGTAAGTAAAAAATTACAAAATTTATATGGAAAGACGATTTTATGTCACATTACTCTTAGTCATTTTTTACTGTTACAAATCCTTTCTTTCCAATATGAAAAGTTCCATTTGTAGAAATATAGATCTACATGTATATCTTAAATAACGTTATCTTGTCTCAGATATATTTTTGCAAACAAACAAGTTGTGCCAAAACTACTGACTAAGTTTTGTTTCCAGTTCTTGCACGGCGTCGTGCGACGCTGGGTACCAGTTCCCATCTGGAATGACGTCAGACAAACGAGAATGCGACCAGATATTCGGGGAATGGTTCGACCCTCCTGGCAAGAACATATCCGACTGTAACCGTAAGTTGTCAGAAACAAATCTTTATAATATACGTAGTTGTTGAGCTATAAATAGTTACAAAGGATCCATAATGTTGTTTTTAGAATATCCATAGTAACGGAACCATAGTTACAGACAAAGAGTTACGAAATGATTCGATATTTATTATATTTTACAATAGTTATATTTGTTAAATTTTGTTTTTTGTAATTTCTTTAGCTGTCTGCAAGCCCGATTGTCAAAATGGCGGGAAATGTATCTTACCAAATACTTGCAACTGTCCGGGTGGTTTCATGGGTAAACAGTGCCAACACCGTAAGTAAAATTCGTTAATAAACCTTTTATTTTAGCTTTAAAGTGTATGGGTTATACAATGTTACATATATCATATGCTGGGATCGATTAAATATTTTACGAAAAACGTCCGAAATATTTATTTTATTTTAATCTCTACAACTATTTCAATCATTTTTTAACAGCTGTCAGTAACTGTGCTCCACCACATGAGCCATCTAACGGCACGCTCACTTGTCATCATGATACTTCCGGTACCAGATGTACTGTCGCATGTAATAAAGGTTTCAAACCTGCACGGACTACTTCATCATCGTACAATTGCTCACCGGATGGTACGTGGTCCCCGCCGAAGTCTGAGATACCCAGATGTGTTTCAGGTAAGTACAATTGGTCTATATTTTTGTTGTTTATACTAAGAGAATCAAATAAATAAATTAATTAATTGAACATGTATTGTACATGTATTATTGTAGTATATATTTATAAAAAACGTAAAGACATCCGAACATAATAAAATTAATGCCAGCGATCGTTGAAAAATACCATCATCGTTTTTTACTATACCATCATTATTGGAAGAATTCATTCATGAGAACTAACAAAATAGACATTATTTGAGCCGCGTCACGACAAAACCAACATAATAGGTTTGCGACCAGCTTGGATCCAGACCAGCCTGCGCATCCGCGCAGTCTGATCAGGATCCATGCTGTTCGCTTACTAACCCTATTACAAGTAGAGAAACTGATAGCGAACAGCATGGATCCTGATCAGACTGCTCGGATGCGCAGGCTGGTCTGGATCCATGTTGGTCGCAAACCCATTATGGTGGTTTTGTCGTGACACGGCTCATTTTTGTTTATTTTACCGTTGTTCACTAATCATCGTGTAATTAAAGCAGCCTTCAGCATTTCTAAAGGTCCAATATGTTTTTTCTTAGATTAATCGTTTCATATAATTATCAAATTATAAGAATTAATGTGGAAATGAAATTTTCCAACGGAAAACTACATGAACAACAAGGAAACCTTCGATACCTCTAATCTACCGGTCCTATCTCTATTTTTTCAATTAGTAAAGCGAACTTCTACTTTTTAAAGAGACAAAAAAGTCACGCGTTAATTCGATGCACCTTTTCAAGATGAAATTAATAAAATACTTAGTTTGAATCAACACATAATTGTTATTCCTACAGAAATAAAAGCTGAGAGCCGCTTAAATAGAACATACCAGTCTATGTATAAAATCAGCAACGGTGAAATAAAGCGTTACATACACAACACTAAATTGCACTTTTAAATGGAAATAATCTGACTGACTGTTTTTTTACTGACATTTTAGAAGTTTAGAAAAAAAAAAGATAAATCATAAAAATGTACGCAGCCATTTTAAATAAATGTTGAAGTAATGAAACTTCAAAATATTTCCGTTTATTCTATTTGCAGATACCAATCTTTGTAAACCATTACCAGCACCCGGTCACGGTACTATAGCTTGTGGGCCCGGATTTCCATTCTAGTAAGTTCAAATTTTCAAAATTAGTTTAAACAAATCCTTTCTTTTCAATATAAACATGTTCATTTGGTAGAAATATACATTTATATCTTAAAGAACGCTATCTTGATATATAACTTAACTCTCAGAAATTTTTTTGGATGCAAACAAGTTGTGTTCAAAACTCATTTGTAAATATTGTTTCCAGTTCTTGCACGGCGTCATGCGATGCCGGGTACCAGTTCCCATCTGGAATGACGTCAGACAAACGAGAATGCGACCAGATGTTCGGGGAATGGTTCGATCCTCCTGGCAAGAACATATCAGACTGTATCCGTAAGTTCTGCCAGCCACGATACCTTAATCGTGTTGAGATGCTGAAATTGAAAGAAAGTTATTCATAACAATTTCTGTTTTATTTTCCGTTGTTGACGCTTTATCGTGTATTCAATAGAACATATAAGTCTATGTATAAAAACATCAACGGTGAAATAAAGCGTTGCATACACAAAACTAAGACTGAGCATTTCAATAGAAATAATATGACGTTTTTTTTATCTACATTTTAGTGGTTAAGACAAAAAAGTAAATCATTAAAATGTATGCAGCTACTTTTTTTTTAAAAATTAATGCAAGTTCAATACAGTTCGATTTATTTCATTTACAGCGAGACATTGTCAACCTTTACCAGCACCTGGTCACGGCACCATTGTTTGTGGGGCCGGATTTCCATTCTAGTAAGTTCAAATATAAAAAATTAGTTCAAGCAAACCTTCCTTTCTATATAAACATGTTCATTTTATGGCAGAATCAGATCCTTATCTTCATAAACGTTATCTGACGCTTGGATGGATTGTGCTTAAAACTACTGAGTACATTTTGTTTACAGTTCTTGTACGGCGTCATGCGACGCTGGGTACCAGTTCCCATCAGGAATGACGTCAGAAAAACGAGAATGCGATCAGATGTTTGGGGAATGGTTCGACCCTCCTGGCAAGAACATATCCGACTGTATCCGTAAGTTGCCAGAAACAAATAGTAATAATATACGTAGACTTTGAGCTATAAATAGTAAGAAAGGATCCATAATATTGTATTTTCTATTGTCATAGTAACGGAATCATAGTTACGGAACCATAGTTACGGAAATATAGTTACGGAAAAATAGTTATGGAATCAAAGTTACGGAATTATAGTTACGGAACCATAGTTACGGAAATTATCGCATGACCGCCACAACTTTCTTTTGAAGATCGGCGTTCTCTATATTCCAGTATTGGAAAACTTTGGGGTGCTCTAAATGAGGTATCAGTACGCTTTGGGTGCTCTAAATGAGGTATCAGTACACTTTCTCGCGCATGCCCAGTTTATTATTTTATTTCAAATTCAAAAAGAGCAAAACAAAACATTACACAGTTGACAGAACTTTTTTTTTAAATATTTACATTTCATCTCGATTTTTTTTTTCAAAAATTGAAAATGCAGTTATTATAAAGATGTTGACTCCAGTAAAAAGTAATCGCCATTTTCTGCATCCTGACCTCGAGGACAAGTCTGAAACAATGATCAAATTATTCTCTTTTTTTTTGGGCTGTAAACAATGTCTCCGTTTTACAGGAGATTCTGACCAGTAATTAAGCCACTCAGTAAATCACTACACCTATGAACATAATATTCTAGTGTAATTAAGTAGATGGAGTAGATGGAAGTAGATAAGTGTTATACGAAAACATCACTACATTGTCGTTAGTTTACAAGATATACCTCTGAAATATGCACCGGGACTCTTATCGACAATATTTCCTAGATTATATTTTGAAAATGAGCTGGACAGATGATTGATATTTCGCTTTCAGAAAAAATGCATCAACTTACCTCTTCAAATAGTTATAAATTTATGTCCAGTTCCTTCAACGGCATCTAATGGGTGTATTTCTGTGTGTATTTCTTAAAATATTTATATGTTTTTAAATAAAGCAAATATTACGAGAGAGCGTTAATCTCCAAGAAAAAAGTCGTGATGGTCATGCGATAAAACAGTTACAGAATAAACAAGTAGAGATTTTGATGCTAAAGCATCAAGTCGCCGGATAGAAATATGATTGTATTATCATAAATAAAAGAAAATATCAGTTTAATGGTTCGAGTATAAAGAAAAGAGGAACAATAAGTTGAGTAATGTTTATTCATAAACACGTTTTCATTTACTTGCCACAATTATATCTTCCTTGATGAGAGTTTTATGCAAAAAATTTATCTTATGTTATAATAAAACATCATATTTGAATCAAACTTGCTTAGCAATTTTGTCAAGAAACTGTTATCATTATTAAATAAGCAAGTATTGTTTGGCAATATTTACCCGAGACTCAATAATTTTCGGGAGCTGTTTCGTTTGCTTACATTACGTAAGTCTTTTTATTCGTTGAATTGTTACTTAAGTCTCTTATAACTCAATATATGAGTGGCAATGTACTTTTTAAATCATGTTATATGTGTTCTATGTATATTGTTGTATGTATGTACATTGATGAGACTAAAATAAAGATTGAATATATATAACTTATTATGATTAATGTTAACGATTTTATTGTTAGTATAATTACATGTATAATTATAAAAATTAATACTGCTCGATGGCCTAGTGGTAAGTATGACGAAGTTGTAACCTACATGTAGTAGGCGCAAGTTCGAATCTCGGACAAATCCTGTGTGTAGTTTTCATAACTTGATTTTTATTAATCTTTTAACTTTATGAAACATAAGTTGATAAATCGTGTGTTTCATTTCTAGCACTTTTTTATTTCATAATTTTGATAAACGGTCAAGTTTTACAAAATACAAAAAGTATTATAAAAGAAAACATTAAAAATCACTTTATCGAACCTACAGTATTCAATTTGAAACTAACTTAAAATCTAACACCTTGTCATCGAGGCTTGTAAAGCAAGTGATGTGATTATAATTCTATTTGTAATTCTACTTTATACATATACCGTTGTACGTATGGTTTTCTTCAGCATCCGATAATTACCAACAAATTATTACCGATCATCGAATATTTGCAAAGTGACTATGAAAATATATATGCTTAATTATTGCATAAAACAATGCAATTCTACTGTAAAAGTGGTGTCTGCATAAACAAATTATTCTTATGCACTATCGAAAAAATATATTATTTAGCTGAAATCAATATTCCTGTCGTTACATACGATAAAGTTAATGTTTAATTGCCTTTCAGTGCGATAAACTATCAACACAAAGATGGTTTATTAGTTTTCTCTGTGTATCCAATACGATTCCGACCCCTACTGTCATACCGAGATTTTTCATACAAAATTACTTTGATTTGCACTTTATCAGCTGCCAACCATTCACATGTTACCTGTATGTCTATCTTATCAGCCATTTGTTACTATTAATAGATTTCATAACAATAACATACAACGTGTAGTCACGTGATTCTGGGAGAAACTGTTTATAATAAATAAGATAAAAAATAGAATAGGTCTCATAAGATACAAACAACCAGATAATTTAAAAGTGTCATTTCAAATATCATGCATGATTTATTTATCATAAAATAGCAACGCTTGACACTTTAAAAAAAGTAAAAGCATCCCTAAATTCAATGACTGGTCCATAGGGATACGTCATTAATTCATTTTATAAATATTGTAATGTTGCTTTTTACGATGTCAGTATTTGAATATTTCATTTCATTTAGCAACATTATTGTATGTTTGAATTTTTGAGATTACTGAAAACAATTGTAGTCTTTAATTGTTCAGTAATTGTTATGCTTTTATTTACAGAAATTAATGCCTTCTCCTACCATAGGTATAATATTAAACTATTACAAATATAGTCGCCGGTTTCTACTGGCGACAAATAATACTCGGACTTCACCGGCTGGTATCAGCGCATGGGGCGACAAAAGGGTCAATCATGGAAATTAATCTAGACGTTCCGTCTTGATAAATTTCCTATGATTGACCCTTGTTGTCGCCCCATGCGCTGATACCAGCCGGTTAAGTCCTCGAATATATTCTATAACTATTACGAATCGATATTAATTATATCTCACAGTAGTAATATATATTTTATTGGTTTATATTTGTTTTATTTTCTTCAGCTGTATGCAAGCCCAATTGTCAAAATGGCGGGAATTGTATCTTACCAAATACTTGTACCTGTCCGGGTGGTTTCATGGGCAAACAGTGCCAGGACCGTTAGTATAATCTTAAAATTATGTTTTGAATTTTAAAATCTCAAATATGAAAATAATCATATGTCACTCGAGGTTACCCCCACTCGTGAAATATTAATTTTCATATCACTCGACGAAGATAAATCCCATATTTATAGAGAAACTTAACTTTTTTCTGTTTATTATGTATTTTTTGATCTTGAAATTCTAAAGACTTACTCTTTAATTTTGTGTATTGTATAAATTTAGAAGATAGAAGTCCGGCAAGATAATAGTGAAAGCACGGAAATAATGTTTTTTTCTGCAATGAAAATTCATTCATTCATTCAGTTTTTTGTTCTTTCTTTCGTCCGTCCGTCAGTTATTTACATGATATAAACGTTATTAAATTTCTGTTCTATTAAAAAAGACGGTAAGGTCATTTTCTTTAGTTCAATAATATTTCATTGCAACTAAATAATACATGTAAAATATGAATAATACAAAACAAATGTTTTTTTTTTTTTTTTTTTTTTTTGAAATGGGTAAAATATGTTCCTTAACATTACATGTTTATTGCAAGACAATACCAAGCCA